TGAATTTCAGCTTTAGGATTATTTTTAAGTTTTGAATTCTGTAGAGATGATGATCTTTCTTTTTCTTCTGCTTTCACTTCTTTTGCTTTGGGACCTTTTTTCTTATTTTTATTCTTAGGAAGAAATGGTGCTTCTTTAGCCTTTTCTTTAGATGAATCTCTAGAGGATGATTTTTCTTTTTGAACTGGAATTGATTCTGGTAAAGGATGGATCAACATACAAATATCTGGGGATTGAACAAAGAAATTAAACCTCGATTAAAGAAAGAATATTTTAAAAGATTAAGGCTTATATTACAGTCGGAACTGAATGGAAGAAATAAATTAAACTCCATTGGCACATTAGCTGTTCCAGTAATAGAATACACTTTTGGCCTTGTAATTATATATGTATATATTTTGTTATGATCCCGTACACAATGTTCACATTTTTCAATTTTTTTATAAACAAAAGACTAACGATGAACTCAAATTGTTCTTCTTTAGAAGTGAAGCTTCTAGAAACTCTTTCTTTTGTTTTATTTGCAAGTATTTGCTTGTTTAGATTGTTGGACATTCGAAACAATTGACTAATGAAAAACCGAGGTTATAAAAGGAAGCTTCACAGCTTTGCACGCGTTCTTTTGATTCTTCGTTTTGTTATATTGAATTCTTATCCGTTTAGTTTTGGTTGAGTGATAGTTTTTAAGTGTTTGTTCGCGAGTTAAAATAACCTTTACTTTTATTTTGTGAAAAAGTCTATGCTAAGCATTTAACACGTCACAAGAAATAAACTGTAAATTAATTTTAATATTAATTTGCGACTTATAATATAAAGAACGAACCGAACATAACATACAACGAGATGAACAACCGAACATGCTTTTATAATACGGCCACGAATAAATATTTTTACATAATAATAATAATAATAATAAATAAATAAATAAAAATTAAATAAAATTTATTTATTATCCTTATTATTATTATTTTTTTTTATTTTAACTTCGTTTCTCCATCCTTGGTCATATTAAATAAACACATGTACAAAATTTTGCTTTAAAATATAGTTATTTCATAATTTAAATTTTATTCCTATTTATACATAAGTTAAACATGAAAAATATGGTATTTTTTTTTCTGACCAATCACGAGTAAGAATGGCGAGCGCCATTATTTTCTCATTATGTATACAAAGCACGCCATTGGTTAAAAATTGTACTGAAAATTGCATATACTCTAAATGCAAGGCGTTGAAGCGAAACGAAACTAACGAAAAATTGAGACCTCCTAAATATTATGTTTTACTGATACTCGGAACCAATTTTTCACTCATTTTTCGTGATTTTTTTTCGTTCTCCTTACTTTTGTGAGTTATGCAATTTGTCGTGTTCTCGCGTATTGCAGGTTGCATAACCAAAATTTTTAAGGATTTTTGAATTTTTTCGATTTTTTCCGTGCGCCTTACTTTTTTGAGTTATGCAATTTGTCGGGTTTCGCGTATTGTCAGTTGCATAACCCAATTTGTATAAAAATTTCTTTAAAGTTTTTCTTTTATGGGAATAAATGAATGATATAACCAAACATGCATGATGGGAAAAAAAAAAACAAATTTTATTTTTTTTTTTAAATAATATATTTGAGAGAATAAATACATATATTATAATACAGAGAATAAATACAAATATTATTATTATTATTATTATTATTATTATTATTATTATTATTATTATCATTATAATTTTAAAAAAAAAAAAAAAAACGGAAAACTTAATAATCGTTTGTGGCAAATTTAGTAGTTTATGTGTCACGATTAAGAAAAATATACATACATATATTTTATACATATATATGTATATAATATAAACGTGGCCAAATATAAATCAAACGTTCAATCATCACTCAAAATTTAATTACAGGTTTAAAACGAGGTTTCTTCTATGACGACAAACAACCGAACCTGATTTTTTCTAATTATTCCTCTTTCTCGCCTTTTCCTCCCTCTCTTCCTCCCTCCCTTCCTCTTCTTGCCTTCTCGCTTTTTCGTACTTTTTTCCAAAACGAAATCGTAGCCCTTATTTAAATTATTTGAAAATATAACAGAAACGTTTTTGTCACCTCTCCTCTCCTCTCCAAAAGGTAGACATCATCTTGTTTCGCTGTCTGATACTGTCACTCCTGAATGTGCCGGCTCGTCTTTACTGGTCCTTTCCTAAATGAAAGAAAAAAAAAATAATAACAATTAGTAAGGACAAATGTAAAAACTTTATAAAAAAAAAAAAAAATTTTCTGTTGTTTCATCCGCGTTCTACCTACTTACCATCGAGTAAAAACTCGCGTATTTTTTCTCTCTCTCTCTCTCATTTTTACCTTTTCTCCACTCATCAATCTTGCAAAAAAGAAATCGTGAATTTAAATATTATCATGCTAAATAATAAAAGAAACATTTTTTTTTTTTTTTTTATAAACGTTTCATTTATTTAAAATTATTTATTTATTTATTTATTAATAATTACAACGTGAGGAAATTAAAAATAAATAAATAACCGTCATTATTATTAATAATAATAATTCTAATAATAATAATAATTAAAAACATTTTTATTTTAAACAAGCTTCATTTATTTATTTATTTATATATATATATATATTTATATTATTTTTTATTTATTTTTAAATTTCACGAAGGCGAGAAGTTAGACACACGTGTGTGCGTGTGCGTGTGTGCTACGTCACGTGAAGACACACATAGAATCTCGCGTTTTTTTTTTTTTTACGTAAAATTCACTCATTTATTTATTTTTTAAGAAAAATTACTACTTTACAGATTCTTTTTTTTTTATTTGTTTGTCAATTATAAATATTATTATTATTATTATTATTATTATTATTATTATTATTATTATTATTATTATTTACACAATATACGTTTAATTAAAATTAAAAAAAAATAATTATAATAAAAAACCATCAAAAAGCACTTTTCTTCTTCTTCTTCTTTTTATTCTTATTCGAAAATTAAATAATAAAAAAAAAAACAACAGAGTAGCGAGCGGGAGGTAAAGATGTCAGAGAGAAAAAAAATAAAAAAAAATAAACGAGCCTTTTGACCTTTAACCTTTCAATTTTCCCCTCCCTATCCGAACTGTCAACGCCCCCTCCTCATCCTCCTTCCTATTTTTTTTTCGCGAAAGAATACAAAACAAATCAGATTACAGAAACTGAAAGAGAGAAAAAAAAAAACAAACAAGTTATCGAACGAACGAATGGACAAACAAACAGACAAACAAAGCTCCACAACATCAGCAATAACAACAACAGCAACAACAACAACATCCCATAAAAAGTTCAATTTCTGTTTTTTTTTTTTTTTTTTTTTTTGTAATCATTCATCTTCTTGATTTTCATTTATTAACAAATAATAATAATAATAAAAAGTTTGACTGATGGGGTGGGGAGGAGGGTGCAAAACATGGGTGGGTGGAAGAAGGAAAGGGGAGGGAGGGGGAGGGAAAAAAGAAAAATATAAAGAGGTAGGCTCCCGAACGAACAATAAATAAAAATGTGAACACAAAATAAATTAACTACAATTAAATAATTAATAATAATAATAATTATTAACACTCTCCCCCGCCATTTTTTTTTTTTTACTAAATAATTACTTAGTCACTTATGTACATGATGATGATCCTTTTCGTTTATGGTGTTTTTAAATATGATATTAAACGGATTATTAATTCGGAAAATTAAAAACATTTCCTAAGTGCAACAATAACAACGACGACAACGACAACAACAACAACAACAACAAACACAACGGACGACTTTTAAATTTTCTCTACTCCCCCCTCCCCTTTCCACTTTTGCCTCCCCGCGCTCGCGCGTGTGTGTGTGTGTGTGAGAGTGAGAGAGAGAAAGAAAGAGAGATAAAAATATAAAAGATTGGCACTACACAACCGTGGTTGTTGTTGTCTTTCTCTCTCTCTTTTCGCTCTCTTTATCGTGCTGAAAACAAACAAAACGTTTTTTAAAAATTATTTTATTTATTTAATTTAAAATCTAATTTTATATACTCGAAAACAAAAAAAAAAAAAAAAGTTTAAAAAAATTTTCGCGGGGTTTCTTCACCTCCCCCTCCCCTCACTCCCCTTCCCCTTTTCCTTCTTTACCATTTTGTTTCTTTTTGTCTTCTTTCACTTTTTCCTTTGCTCCCTTTCCAACGTTTGGGTTTTTAGTTTTCGGTTTCCTTTTTTTCCCCCCTCTCTCGACGATTAAAAAAATAAAACAATAATAATAATAATGATAATAATAATAAAAAGAATAAAACAACAATTTAACCAACTAATTTTTTTTTTTTTTTTTTAAATCACAAATAAATAAATAAATAATTTAAAAATTTTTTTTATTCTTTCGATGGGGTCGTTGTCGTTATTATCATTATTATTATTATCAAACCGCAACTCGAATCGACGACCGACATCGACAAAATTAAAAAAAAAAAAAAAAAAAGTTTTTTTTTTTTTTATTATTAAAATACTACTACTAAAAACCCAAACTCTCATCACCAAAAAAAAAAAAAAAAAAAAAAAAAGACTAGAAGTCTAGCTGCTCTCTGTCTTCCGTTATTATTTCGTTATTGTTGTAAGACGTCGTCCGATTTTGCAACTCATCGGCGACGACGACGACGGCGGCGTCGACGTCGACGTTATTATTACGTTTGTGCCACAGAATCTCCAACGATTCTTCTCCTTCTTCTTCTTCTTCTTCTTTTTCAAGGTCGTCGAATCCGTCATAATCATGAGTCGTCGAACGGAGGATTCCACCGTTTAAATTCCACTCGACCTGTAAAAGACCCGAAGAAAATCAATCAATCAATCAATCAATCAATCATTTCATTTTTCTCGTAATGAAATAAACTCTCACCATTTTCACTTGTCGGTCCGTTATCGTGTTATCTATTATTATTCGGGGGAGTAGTCAATCCCGGCGTGCGGGCACCGTCCATGCGGTGCAAGGCGGCCGTCACAGTTGCTCTTTTGCGGGTACCCAAATCGTTGGACCCGCTTGTTCGACGATGACATCTTTTACTTTGGCGTAGATTTCTTCGGGAGTGTCTCCCTCGACGACGGCCGTGAAATATTCGGCAAATTCTTGTTCCATTTTAATGGCACGCTCGTAAGTCTTCTTGGCTTGTTCCTCAGTCATTCTTTTATTCATTTCCCTTAATAATAAAAAAAAAAAAAACAAAACAAAATAATAATAATAATAATAATAATAAACAAGGCAATGGTATGTATATACTCACATGATTGATTCGACAGATTTGGGTTTAATAAATATGGCGATTGGAAAGAGTTGAGCGACTTGCAGCCTTTTTATAGCGTTACCGCTCACGTCCAATATGCAATGTTTACCACGTTCCGCCACTTCTTTGACCGATGCCACGGACGTACCGTAAAGATTATCATTGTACTGTCCGGCTTCGATGAATAAATGATTTTGAATATCTTTTTCCATTTGTTCTCTAGACGAAACGAAATGATAGTCTCTCCCGTCTTTTTCGTACTCTCTCTTCGGCCTCGTCGTGTCTGTTCAAATAACAGATAATTTTATCATTCATTCATTTCCGGTTATGTTCGTGCATCATCATCGTCGTCGTCGTGACGATAGAAAATACTCACGAGGTACGCAGCTACCAAATTTATCCGGGAATTCGGATATTAAATCATCGTTGATTCTATCTTTGAGAGGGCCCAAAACGATGACAGGACGAGTGTACTGTATTTGCTGTTGTTGAACTGCTTCGTACGAAAGAACCGTTTCTTCCCCACCTAAATAAAAATCATATCTCGTCAAATAATAATAATAATAATAATAATAATATTCTCGAGGAGCGGATTGAAGGAAGGAAGGAAATTAACTTTGCGACTTTAATTGGCTTGCGCGCCTACCCCACGAGAGAGAAAAAAAAAAAAAAAAGGAATCGAATTTCGAACCCGTTCAACCACCTCCTTTCATCCCCTTTTTCATGCACAAAATAAATAAATAAAAATTCCTCGATCGTTTCATTTTCTTTTCTTTAACGACAGCAAAAAAAAAAAAAAAAAAATTGCGGATACGATCACTGAAATACGTACGTACTTGACACAAAAAATCAAAATATTAATTTTCAATCACCCTACAAACAAAATCAAAAAAAACAAACAAAATTAAACAAACAAACAAACAAAAAAAAAACAACAACAAGCAATTGTTTAATAAAAGCAAAGAGACGCACACACACACACACACACACACGCGCACGCAAAGAAATAATTAATGAAAGCAAAAAAAAAAAAAAAACAAACGAAAATTAAAAACGTTTAAAATTATTCATGCAAAAAAAAAAGAAAAGAAAAGAAAAGAAAAAATATTTATGATGACGTCGACGTTTGCCCCCCCACCCTCCCCTCCCCCGGGGGAGGGGAGGGTGGGGGGCAAAAAATTAATTTGGTCGATTAATTCATGCAAATAACTTTCCGACAGCAAAATAATTTCCCCAAGGTTAATTACTATTCTTCTTCTTCTTCTCTTTCTTCTTCATTTTCTTCTTCTTTTTCTTCTTCTTTTCCTTCTTCTACATCTCTTTTCTTTTTCCTCTCGTTGCTCTTCTTAGAATGTTGAAAATTTGGAAAATCGTTTTTTTTTTTTTTTTTTTTCCAAAAAGTGGTTAAAACAACAACAGTGAAAGAGAGAGAGAGAAAAAAAAACAATCACGTGTGTATTAAAATCACGTGATATATATTTTTGATAGAGTGAGAGAGAGATAGATAGATATGTAAAACGCCAACAAAAAAAAAAAAAAAGAAAAGGGCAAAGCAAGAAAAGACGGGAAACCTTTACCTTTGACAACAGCAAGTAATAAAAATGATTCAATCTCAATACCTTCTGTCGTGTTGTCGTCCTGCGTGTAACATAACATGAAAGCTGAAACGAAAAAGAATAAGGTAAATAATTTTACACGGGGGTGGGGGGTGAGTGAGTGAGGGTTTGTGCCACATTGTGGATATAGAAAAACAGAAAAAGCAATCGGGTGGTTTTCTACAAGAATAGATAACGTGAAAATTTGTGCTTGAATCGATGGTGCCCCCCCCCACTTCCCTTTTCCAAAAACAAAACATGTTGCATGTGATGTGCGAATTAATTAATCACGTGCTTATGTGTACAATTGCAACAGAAAAAAAAAATTTTTGTGCTTCCCCTCCCCCCTTTTTTTTTTTTTAAGGGAGCGAGTGAGTTAAAGACGCGACAGAAATTACACAAACATGGCCGGAAGCGATGACAGCATTAACCAACCGATCGATTAATCGATCGATCGATCGACGGATCGATTTTCTTTCTCCTTCTTCACATATTCTTCTTCTTTTTTTTTTTTTTTTTTTAATTAATCAAGAACACACAAATAAAAACGTTTGTCTCGTTTGGCTTTAAACGAGAGCAAAAACGAATCGACTTTAAAAAAAAAAAAATGATAATAATAATAATAATTATTGGGTCGGAATTTTTATTGGGCGTGAATATATGCCCGCCATCTTGCGCAAACATCGATCGAACATCATCCCACTCCCCCATTTTCGCGTTTTATACGCGGTCAAATTTAATTAAAATAATAATGCGGTTTTAATTACCGGTATCGTCATCATTATTATTATCATTATTGACGTAGGCGTGGTCGCGATGAACAAACAAGCAAACAAACAAACAGAAAAAAATTAATTTTTCCGTTCCGTTCGCGTAATTTAATTTTTTTTCCTTTTGATCGAAGAGGTCAACCGCACGGTTCCACGCACGGGGGATGTTTTTCGTTCGCCGTTTTGTCGTTTCCGTTTCCGTTTGAGAAATAATAATAATAATAATAATATTATAAAAAACTTACGTTCTTGATCAGAGCCGTCTTCCGACTTATCGTCTTTGCTCTTCATAAATGGAAACTTTCGACTAAATGAAAAGTTTTTCTTTTTCCGGTCTAACGTCGATTGCTGAAACAAAAAAAAAAAAAAAAAAAAAAAAAAACAAAATGAAATAATAATGATGATGATGATGATGATGATTTTCGAAGACTCACCTTATCCATATTTTGTGGCACGTGACCCTGAAATTTAACCGTTCGATCCCGAGCTCTTTGCTTTCTTTCCCAACGTCTTTTGGACGGAACGATCCCCATTCCTTCTTCTTCTCCCGTTGGCAAAACTTTTCTCGCTTGCCACCACTCATCGTCGCTCGCGTTCGTCACGTGTAATATATCTCCGTAGTGGAATGGCAAACCCCGACTCGGGAGACCGTCGTCTTTGTTCGGATCGTAATCGAAAAGCGCTCTGTAATAACAATAATAATAATCACGATGACGATAAATCGGATTTCCCGCCGAAAAATTTTCTTTTTTTTTTACCTGACGTATAAAGATCTTTTCTGTGACGTTCTAAGCAAGGTACCAGACATTTGTTGAGAGATCTGCTGTTTCAAATCGTGGATTTTGGCCTCGAAACGATTGTACTCCTCGGGTTTGAATTGAGCTACGATGGTAACAGTCTGATCCGCTCCTTTCAATGCCTGAGCGGCTTCTTCGTGAGTCGCCGTCCTCAAATTGATTCCGTTCACGCTGAGGATTTGATCTCCCCGCCTGAGTTCTCCGCTGAGATCGGCGGGTCCTCCGGCCAATATGAATGATATAAATATTCCCTCGCCATCTTCTCCTCCGACAATGTTAAAACCCAATCCGCTCGAACCTTTCTGAAGAACTACGGTTCTCACTTCCCTACAAACAAACAAACAAACAAACGACCATTATTATTATTATTTTTATTATTATTATTTTTAATTAATTTAAAATTAAACGACGAGGAATTTAAACTCTCGCTCAATCAATCAATCATTCATTCACTCTCTCTGCCATCGCCACATTGCCAAATTTAATTCAATCTAAGGAATTCTTTTATATATATAAAGCCATAAGAGACTCTCTAGAACATTCTCCACAAATTGTTATTTTATATTTCTTTTCTTTTCTTTTCTTCTTTTTGAAAAATGGTGAAAGTAGAGATTGAGAAACAATAAGCGCAAATTTCCGGAGGCGAAATTTTTTTTTTTTTTTTTTTTTTATACGTACGGTACACATAATAATAATAATAATAACAACAAAGAAAACACGATCGCAGGTGGATATGAATAAAATCGAAAACGATAGAATAACAGGAGAAGGAGGAGTAGGAGGAAAAGGAGGAGGTAAAATTAATTTAAATTTAAATTTTTGATGATTTCCCCCATCATCATCATCATTCGTTCGAGTTTATTTTAAAAATTTGGCCCCGTAACGATTTTAATTTTAAATTTTTTTATTATCATTATTATCATAGTGAAAACATTCGGTGAAAGAGGTGAGGAGAGGAGGGGAGTATAGGAGAGAAAAGAAGAGGGTATTGAAAAACTTTGCCGAATAATAAATTGCGAAAAGAAAAAAAAATTTTTTTTCATTTTCTTTTCACCATCCCCTCGCCCGTTCCCTTCATCTCCCCATCCATCGCCATCCCCCTTTCCCTCCCTCCCTCCCTCTCTCCCACTCGTCCAGCACCAACCATTTGTCTCAATCTAATTAATTATTACACGTAACGCCTCGTTTAAAAAAACGCAATCGAAACAGACATATTTTTTCTCATTAACGACAACTCTTTTTTTTTTATTTTCTTGGGGGGATTCCCTCCCCCTCCCTTCTACTCCCCTTTACAAAACGAATCAAAACCATCCAGTTTTGCTTGTTTGTCGTGATAGAAAATCTCACAAACGTACAAACACACGATTGAAACAATCTCGCTTTGGAATTTTAATAAACGTTATATGTACGGATCGCGTCGGTCGCGTAATTTTTGTTGTTTGTTGTTTGTTGTTGTTGTCATTTCATTTTCGAGAGTAAAATATTTAACTATTTATCTTCGAGCGAAATAAATCGAGAAAGAGAGAGAGAAAAAAAAACATAAAAATGACATTTGAAATCGAAAGAGAGAGAGAGAAAGAGAGGGAAGACACGATTTCAATTTTTTTTTTTTTTTTTTTTACGGCGTTTTGCATTGCGAGACAGAAAGAGAAAGAGAGAGATAGAGAGAGAAAACAAAATTACACTTAATTAACGGTCGACGAAAATTTACATGTTTAATTATTGAAACCAGGGTAATGATGATGATGATGATAATAATAATAATAAATTAATGTCTTTGACAAAAAAGAATAAGAAAAAAAAAAAAACCGCAAAAGGTTCTTCGTTTTTTTTTTTGAGAGAGAGAGAGAGAGATTTCGACCGACCGACTCACTCTCTCTCTCTCTTTCTCCTTCTTCGAAACAAAAGAAATAAAAAAATTCGGATGTTTGTCGTCACAACCGACCGGAAATTCGTGACTGTGAATAAACAAACATGCCACGATTCGAATCCGATTTTTTCTGACCGTTTCTGAACATATAAAATTCATTTTTTTTTTATGACGTATCCGTGTTGGTGTGACACCCCGTAAAAATCCATTCAATACGTACGAAACGACGACAAACGGCGATAGCGGAAGAAGAAAGAAACAAACAAACAAACAAAAATTCTTTCTTTCTTTCTTTTCCTTCTTTTTAACTCATTCATAAAATCGTTACAAAAAAAAAAAGAAGAAAAAAAATAATAATCCTTCTTTTGTTTTATTGTTCGTCGTTAAAACTACGCGATTAAATTAAATTTAACCAAATGAGAAAGAGAGAGAGGGAGGGAGGGAGAAAAGACGCGTTCGAACGCGAAGAGAAGGAGCGGATTTAACGAGATGAAACGAGAGGCTGGAAAGAAAAGAGAGAGAAAGAGAAGGTAAAAAAAAAATTAATAAATATTTCAATACTGAATCATTCATCTCATTATTTATGCATTAAAACCGAATAAAGAAAAGAAAACTTGCTTAGATTTGCTGCAACAAACGGACGAACGAACAAACAAATAAATAAACAAACAAACAAACAAACAAACCCACACGCCAACACGTTAGATATTCAATTAAAAATTAATTCAAAAAAAAAAAAAAAAAAAAAAGGAAAATGACCGATTTTAATTCGTATAATGAATTTTATTTGACTCTCTTTCGACGAAACCCGAAACGACGAGAAAACAGAGCGATGGTCACCCACAGCGACAGCACCAACAGCAGCAACAGACCAACTTTTTTCCTATTCTTTCGAATATTTCCGGGGGGGGGGGAAGGAAAAAGAAGAGGGAAATATACGCAATACATATCGATCTGAAAACAAATTACGAAGATCCTTAATAGAAAAAAATAAATTACAGTCGTTTACACACACACGCGCGATGATGATGATAATGATAATAATTACCCTCCATCTCAATTGCTCGTGTGTGTCTCGACGAAATGAGGGGAAAGGGGAGGGGGACGAGAGGGTAAGAGAAAAACTGTCAAAACGAAACGATTTCAGTTTCACTTAATTTAATAAAAAAAAAAACGATGGAAAAACGCGATGAGGTAGACAAAGAGAAAGAGACAGGGGGAAGGAAAATTTTTTTCCGTTTTGTCACCTTTCCCTGATTTCAGGTATGCGTGCGTGCATGCGTACGTGCGCGCGTATCAAAATCCTACGTGCGGTTCATTTTAATAATTATTTTAATTATTAACTTTAGGCTGGTGCCATTTTATAAAAAAAAAAAACGCTTCGAGCGTTTATATAAAACATAGAAAAAAAAAAAAAATTAATTCTTTCTTTTCTCCTTCCCTCCTTCCCTCCTTCCCCCCTCAGCCTCCTCCTCCTTCTTTTCTTCACAATGATTAAAGGCTACTTAATTAGAAAACCGAAGGGCGATTAAACGCTAAACAGTCATTAACGAAAAAAAAAAAAAAAAAAAATCTCATTTCAGACATTTTTTTTTTTTTTAAATTATCTTGAAATTATTTAACCGCAAAAAATTTTTTTTCTCCCTCTTTCTTATCGATCGGAAATATTTAATCGATCCTTTGAATTATTTGGGGGGGTGGGGAGACAGAGAAAGAGACGGAACATCGAAAAACTCGAAAAATTCCGTCTGTCGCGAGATGGAAGCAGGATTTAATCGAAAAAAGGTTTACAAGAAATTTTGAAATTGTGAAATTTTCTCGAGAAAATTTGAGAAAATTTCCCATCGATCCAATGATACCAACATAACTTCGATTAACAACAAAAACAAAAAAAACTAAAGACGAGAACGAAAAGAAATGAAAATAACCCACGAGATAAAAAAAAAGAAAAAAAAAAAATTCTTAATTTTGTATCTGTTCCGCCCCTCCTTTTTGCTCATTATCATCGGGAAAATTGGGGGAGGGGAGGGAAACGACAGAAAAAAGGCACAAGGTTCGCGAAACTCTGAAATAATTCAAAAAAAAACAAAAAAACAAAATGGAGCCATCGAAATTTTTTTTTATTTTTTTTTTCTTTTTCCACGTTTTTTTTCGAAATTAGACACGTCTCGATGTTTCGCGTATCACGCAAATTAGTTAATGACACGCTTTCCAAACCGATAACTCGTCGTCACAACCGTGGTACAAAAATAATTAATAGAAAGAGAGAGAGAGAGGGAGAAAAAGAGAAAGAGAGAGAGAGAGAGAGAAAGAAAGAGAGAGAGAGAGAGAGAGAGGGAGAGAAAGAGAGAGAAACTGGCCCAGTAAAAAATTTTTAAAATTCGTACAAAAATATAAAAAAAAATGTAAATTTTTCTCAAAAAAAAAAAAGACGTTCGCGTTCGATCCGTTCGATCAAAATGAGAGCAGAATACGACGCAGGAGAAACAAAAAAAGAGGAGGAGGAAAAAGAGAGAGAGAGAGAGATGGAGAATTAAAGAGAGAAAGAGAGAAAACTTTCCAATAAAAAGCGTTCACGATTGTTAAATTTTTTTTTTCTTTTCTTTTTTAATATTATTTTAAACTCTCCTTTTGTTTGTTTTCTTCATCAAAAACTTTTACCCGGTTAAAACAAACAACAAACAAACAAACGAACAAACGAACCAACAAACGAGTCAAAATTTAAAAAAAATTTCCAAAAAAAAAAAAAAGTCAAAAGAGATTATTATACACACGCGAGACGACACGGAAAATCACGGTTAATACTAATCGGATTCTAATCGAAAAAAAAAAAAAAAACGAGGAGGCCCAAATCTTGTATCTAGTACACAAAAACGCATTTTATATTCACACGCATACACGCACGCACACACATACACGATGCACGCACTTGAAATCCGTGAGACCCCCTCGAGGTTTTCCCCCCAAAAAAAAAAAAAAAATTTCAATTTTCGTGATAAACATCAAAAACAAAAAAAAAAAAAACAAAAAAAAAAAAACTTGAACCGCAACTTTTGATATGTTATCTTGCGATGATGTGTGCGGCATGTGCGCGTGTGCGGGGGGGGGGGAAGGGGGACTTTAAATTCCTTCTTGCGACTCCATCGACTTTTTTACCTGCGTAAAAATTTCCACCTTCGTCATTCATGTTTATAAAATTTTTTTTCCGCGACACATTCGCCACAGGGGAGGGAAAACCCATTCACGTACTACCCTTATCCCCTCCTCTTCTTCTCCTCCTCCTCCTCCCTATCCCCAAAAAGTCCCTCATCAAAAAAAAAAAGTTAATTTACGAACGTAAACCGAAATCGAAACTCAACTCGATCTTATTTTTCTTCTAAACCTTAAAATGAGCGATGACGATGATGATGATGATGACCACAATAATGATAATGATAATAATAATAATAGTAATAATAATAATAATAAATTCAACGACAAACGTTATTATAACTAAAAAATTAAGAACAAACATTTTACGATTGCGTAATTAATACACGCACAGGCACACGCACACGCGTAAAAAAACGCAAAATCATCATCGATCGAATCCGCC